TTTTTTATGGTATATTTTTTTAAATATAAAATGAAATAGTATTTTATAATTTTGTTTATAATTCTTTTAAAAAAAAGTTCATGATAAGCTTTTTTAAATATTATTTAATTATAATATTTTTTTATTATAAAACTTTTTTTACATATTTACTAATTTACTTCGAAATTATTTTTATTACTAATAGTTTTGTGATATGAATTTTTATAATATTAAATAAATAATTTTACATTACTTATTTTATTTTTTTTTAATTATTATTTAAATATTATATTTTTTTTTTATTAATTTACTAATTAGTTTATTTGGATTTCGAATATATTTAAATTTTATATTTTTATAATAAATACTTATAAAAGTTTATTTTTATTAATTTTTTGTATTTAGTTTTAATTAATTATTTAATATTATTTTTATTCACTTTTCGAATTTAATTTTGAATTTTATTACATTATTAAATTTATAATAAACGAAATATTTTTATTTAAATAATTGATTTTTGCTAATCTACTAAATAATTTGTTTTTAATTGATTATTTTTATTATGCTTTAAAAAAATTCTTTTTTTTATTTTTTTTATTTTTTTTATATATTTATGTTAAAGAGAAAAAAAATAAATAATAATAAATATATAATAAATACAGTAAATTTCCAACTTTATAATAATAGTAAATATATATGTTAAATAGTAGAAACTTTGAAACTTTTCTATGTTATTATTTTTTTTAATGTTAGCTAAATTATATTTTTATAATTTATATATATTTTTAAATATTTTATATAGTTTTGTACACTTTTTTTAATTTATATTTAATAATAGAATATATTTTTTTATTTGTATAACCAATATTTATATATAATAAATTACTAATTATTTTTTATAGTAATCTTTATTATATGTTTTATTTTAATATTAAATAAATTTTATTAATAAAAAGTTTTTTTTATTTACATAATAATTTTTTCAAGAAAATTTTTTATTGTAAGCAGTTGTTATTTTTCGCCATTTCGCACATTTTTATTTCTAATATAAGATCGTCCGTTTGAGATTCTTTTCTTCTACTAAAAAAAAATATTCAAAAGAGTGAATTTTTTTTTGCAAAATTTTTTGTCTGAATACTTTATTGGGGCCTCTAATACAAAGTTTTAGATTTTTAAATTTTTTGAAATTATATTTTTTTTACTTTATTTGTATTAATATTTATAGTAAATATAATATTTTTTATTTGTTATTTTTTTTAAATTAATATTTTTAAATTAATTTTCTTAATAAATTTTTTCTTATAACTGGATTTAATAATTTAATAATTTTTTTTTATTATGTAATTTAATTTTTTATTTTATGTTTAATAATTTATTATTATTTGCTATAATAATACTATTATTTATCTTTTATTAATTTTTATTTCATTCATTAAAAATGAATAGCTTTTTATATAATAGCATAAAACAAAAAATATGTATAAAAATCTTCTTTTCAAAATTTTTACAATTAATAAAATTTATATAATAAATAAAAGAAAAAAAAATAAATTTTTTATCACTTCAATATTTATTTTTTTAAATTTACTATAAAAAAATTTCTATAAAATACTATTAATATTTTTTGTTAGTGAATAATTTTTATTATTAATAAATTTTCTTACATTTATTAAATTTATTAATAATTTTTTTCTTTTTTATTAATTTATTGATTTATTTTATACTTTTATTGAATTTATAAATCATTTAATAATTTTTATTTTGCTTATTATTTTTTATAAATTAATTTTAATTATAATATTTATTTAATTTAGTTAAAATTTATTACAATTATAATTTTTACTATATCTTTTTTTTTATTAATAATTTACTATAATAATTTTTATAACTATAAATGAATTTATTTATTTTTTCTTTATACAAACATAATCTTTACTAAATTTATTTTTTTTTTTAAAAATTTATTATAATAATTTTTGTTACTACAATTGAATTTATTAATACTCTCTTTTTTATTTATTGAATGTTGTATAATTTATATCAGTAATAAATTAATAATTAATTATTTATTACTTTTTATATTTTTATGAACTCTCATTTATTATAATTGTATGAATATATAACAATTTAGTTATTATTATTATATTAAACATTATTTATATTAAATTTTTTTATTTTTATTAAATTTTATTGTACTATAAAAAATATTCTTTATTTTTTATTTTTTTTTAAATTATATAATGATTTTTTATAAAATTTTATTTTTCTGATTTGAAGTTTTATTTTATATTAATACTTTTATAAATGAATTTTATTTTTTAATTAATTATTTTTAGTTTTTTTAATAAATTAAATATATATTTTTTTCAATTTATTAATATTAAAAATTCATGTAGTGATTTTTTTTAAAATAAATTTTTATTTTTATTTCATTTTTACTATAAATTAATTTTTTTTCTTATTTATTTATTATTAAATTTAATATTTACTTTTTAAACTTGTATAAATTTAAGCAAAATTTATAATAAATTTTAATTACTATTAATATTACATATAATGAAAATAATTTTTTCTTAGTATTTTTTTGTTAATTCTAATTTTATTTAATAATTTTTTCTTTTATTATATTTTTTTATTTTAATTTATCAAATTTATTCTCTATTATAATTAATTTTGTTTTGTAAACTGATTCTTTTATATAATTATTTTTCATAAAAGTTTTTTAAAAATTTTTTCTTATATTTAATATTTTTTGAGTTTTTATAATTCTAATAATTAATCATTAATTTTTTAAATTTTATTTACATTATATTTATATATAATTTTATTATTCTTCAACTTCTAAAACAAAAAGTTGTTAATTTTTTTATTAATATTATTTTTTCACATAATAATTATTTTACTTATTTTCTACTTATTAAAAAAAAGTTTTATAATAATTTCTTTTTAATATTTCTCTAATATTTTTTATTAGTTATTATAATTTTATATATGAAATTGATTTTTATATTAATTTTATTATATTTTAATTTATTACATAAGTTTTATAATTTTTTTAATATATTCAATATTATTTATTTATTATTATAATTTTAGATATGAAATTTATTTTATTTATTAGTAATTTTATTATATATTAATTTTAAAAAAAAAAAAGCTTTTTGTTAAATTTTTTTTATATTTCTTTAATATTTTTATTAGTTACTAATTTTTTATTTATATTTATTTATATTATTATATATTAATTTGTTAGTTAATTATATTTAATTTACAAAAAAAAAAATTTAAATTATTATATATTTTTTTAAATTTTTTAAATTAGTTATTATAATTTTTTTCTATTAATTTTCAGCAATTTTATGTATTAAGTTAATTATTATATGATAGTTTATTAATTCTCAATTTATTAAAAAAAGTTTTATGACAATTTTTTGAAAATCATTATATTAATCCTTTTTTTATTTATATTTTGATTATCAATTCTATTATACTAATATATATTACTTTTACATATTAAATTTATTATTTTTTATAGTTTTTTGTTATTTTTTAATTCATTAATCATATTTCGTTAATCTTTTTTATTAGTTAACATAATATTTTTTAATATATTTATTTTTAGATTTAAAATATTTTATTAATTCAATTTTTTAATAATTATTTTATTGTATTCCTTTAATATTATTTATTAGTTATTATAATTTCATAAATAAAATTTATTATATTATTATACTTATTTTCATAATTTTTAATTTTTTTAAGATAAGTTTTATAATAATTTTTTTCTTTTCCTTTTTTTAAAATATTTTTTATTAGTTCCTATAATTTTTTTTTTAATATTATTTTTCAAAAGTAACATTTATTATTTTCCATTAATTATTTTTTTTTAACTCTTCGAATAAATTATTTTGCATTTTTTAAATTTTTCTAAAAAAATTTTTATATAAAATTTTTTTTCTTAATTTATTTTTCAATATTTTTTATTAGTTATATTTAATTAAATTTATTTTTATATATAAAATTCATTACTTTATTGCAAACTGTTTAATTATTTGTTTTAAATAAATAATTATTAATATATTATTAATTATTATAAAAATTTTTGTACAAAATTTTTAATCTTTTTTATTAGTTTTATAATTTATTATATTAATATTTTTTCTATTCTAATTATTTTAATTAATATATATAAATATATTTAAAATAATAACATAAAAAGTTAACATTTACTTTTATATAAACTTGACTTATAAATAAAAGTAAAAAAAAAAGTTTATAAATTTAAAAATAGTAAAACTTTTGTATTTCTTTAGTAAAAATATTATTACTTAAAAAGTTTTTTTCAATAAATTTGTTGAATATTTTTTACTACTTAATAAAATTATTATGTACAATAACACATTTTTTACTTTTATGCATAAAATATATTATTATAATTATTTTGTTAGTAATATTTTGATATAATGTTTGCAATTTTTTATTATATAAATATTTTTTTAAAACCTCGTAATAGTTAATTATTAAGGAACAATTTTCTTTATTTATCTTTATAAAATTAATTTTTATTATTTCTTTTTTTTTTAATTTTTTTTCTCATTTAGTTTTTCTATGATATTATTTTTATTTATATTTATTTAATTTTGTTTACTTCAAATCCAGTTAATTCTTTTTCAAAAATTTATTGAATATTTATAAAAAATATTTTTTAAATTTATATTAAATAGATTATAAGATTATTACTAAATTTTGCCTTTTTTATCTTTTTATTTTTTTATTTTTAATATAATATATTTTTTTTTTATTTGAAATTTTTTTTAGAAAAAATTATTATTATATTAATATAATTATTTTTATTCTAATTATTCTTTAGAGCCTTTAGAAATTGCTGAAGCTCGTTTGTACTTAAAAAATAATCCGAATGGTTATAAGGAAACATTGAGTACTATTATTATTATCATTCGTTATTATTCTATATTTTTATTTATCATTAAAATGATCTACAGAACTTTTACCGAAGCGCTATACAGCCGAATCGAGTATTTTGCATGCATTATCGCTGGGAAAAAGTTTCCAAGCTGCTTTTTTAAGCGTATTTCTTTAAATATTTATTATTTAATTAATATTTTTATCTTTTTTTTAAATAATAATATTATAGTTTATTAACTTAAAAAAGTATTTAAATTTTGTATGGTTTTTATTACGTTGACATTTTTGAATTTGTTTTATAAAAAAATTAATATTAAATTATTTATGAAATATTATCATTGGAGATTCCCTCTCGGCTGCAGACAATGTACACGCACGCCTACCAGAGTTATGTATGGAACAAAATGGCCACTGAGCGGCTTAAACAAAACAAGTTAAAGGCCATTGCTGGAGACTTGATAGTGATTGGTAGGTTTTATGTTCATGGGGTAGCGTATATACGCCGCCTCCAAATGACATGAATTTTTCATTTTCATTGGTGTTTAACAGACGCCTGTACAGAATTGGGAGCCTTGACTTTTGAAGTTCATATGCGAGACAAAAACGTTATTATAAGTTTTATTATTATATGCATTATTTATTATATAAATATTTCTACCTATTATTATTATTATTATTATTACTATTTTTAATTTTGTTTAATATTAATATTTATTATTATTATTTAAAAAGCAAATCAAAGTTCATAAAGTTACTAATGAAGAGGAAACTTTGCAAATTTTTGATATAAGCATGGTATCTTTGCCTCTCCCAGGTTTGCTTATATATATTTTCTTATTTATTTATTTATTTTTATGCCTTATATAAAAAAGGCTACGCTGTTTTTATTCCGGAGAATATCGCAGGGAAAAAATACGAAGAACTGCTGAGTGAAGATCATGTAGAGCCTTCACTGTTCATTAAGAAAAAGTTATACATATAGTTTTTTAGGATATTTTTTATTTGTACTAAATAAAAGTATCAATTGATATAAGTAATAATAAAAATAATAACAACGTTTAAGAATTTCATTAATATTTTTACTTTATAGTAATATTTATACCACTCTTTTTATTATGTAAATATATTTTTTATATAATATTTTGTTAGTATTATTATTATATGAATTTTTTACTTAACGGTAATAATTTTTAATACTACTTCTTTTATTTGTAATCCTCTTTATAGAAAATATTTTTTATAAAATTTTTGTATTACTTTTTTCTGGAATATATTTTTTAGGTAATATTTTTAATACTATTTTTATTTGTACTAATAAAAGTAATATTGGATATATTAAAAAAATAACTTCCAAGTATTTCATTAACGTTTTTACTAATTAAAATCACTATAAAATATATTTTATATTAATTTTTTATTTATGAAAATAGATTTTTTATAATATTTGTTAGTATTACTAATTTTATTTGTTTTTTTATTTATTACTAATATTTTTTTTATTACTTTTTTTTTGAATGTTTCTTTTAATATTTTTTTAATACTACTTATTAATATCTTAATACTTTTTTAAAATATTATTTTATCATTTGAATATTTTATAAATAATATTTTTTAGTTCTTTTTTATTTGAATTATTATTTATTATTATTTTTTTTGTATTATTTTATTTGTATATCTTTTGATATAAATAAATTTTTTTTCGTTTTCCTTTAATATTTTTTAAATAATAGTTTTTTTGTATTACTTTTTTTATTTGTATCTATTTTTTTGTTCATTTCTATATTCTTTAATATAATATACTTCAGTCTTTCTGGTGGATATCGCAAGTTGGTGGTTCCTGTCGAAAATCTTTCTTGGTAGTTTTATTATTATTATTGATATATTATTAAAATATATTCAAAAGTTTTTTCTAAATATATTTTTAATAATATATAGATTATTATATTATATAGAAAAAATAGTTTAAAAAAAAATATACAAGACACTTTTATTATAAAATGATGATAATAATAAGTATATGAATATGTAGTCAATGTACTTATTATTGTTTTACTTTTATTATTATTTTTATTTTAAAAGTTCTTATTATATTTTCTTTATGTTTAAAAGTATTTTACTTATTACTTAATTATGATATTATTTTTAATTTTATTCATTATTTTTATTATAAATATTTTTGAGTTCCTTATATTTTTTTATTGTTATTATTAATATATTATTGTGGTACTTATCTTATATAATTTTTATTTTAAATATTTTGTTGTTTCCATTATTAATATTATAAAGTACTTTTTGTTTGTTTTTATTAATTATTTATTACTATTATATTAATACTAACCATTATTATTGTTACTACCATTATATTAATACTTTTAACTTATTAACGATTATTATTATTGTATTACTATTATTTTAACGTCCTTTATTATTTTTAATAATTGTTATTGTTGTTTTTATCATTATTATTATAAAATTACTTTATTATTTTGTTTTAAATATTATTATTAAAGTACTTTTTATAATTATTACTAATTATATAATTGCTTTTATTATTATTTATTTGATATTATATATATAAATTCCTATATATTATTATTAAATTACTTATTATTATTATTACCATTGTTATTGTTTTTATCAAGTATTACCTCTTTTATATGTTATCGTTTTTTATATTTATATTAATTTACTTTATATAAGTAATATATATTTTACCTTTATTACAATTTTTTTCTTTGTTAACGTTTTTAACGTTTTATTTATTTTTATATTTTTTTTGTATACTTTAATTTATTATTTTATTTTAAATATATATATATATTATAATATAATTTTATTACTTTTTAGGGATTTTTTAAAGTATTCGGACAGAAATGAAGTGCTGACTTTGTCTGATTTTGAAGAGTTTCAAGGAAAAACTTTACCATCTGGAGATACAGGTTTTCATTTTTTTAATTGAATAAATATATTTTTTATTTTCTATTTATTATTTTTTATATATATTCTTATTCATTTTTTTTTACTTTGATATTTTTTTAATAGAAGGCCCTTATAAAGCCATAAGAATCAACTTTTCGCTTCCGTCTTCTTGCTATGCTAGTATGGCTCTTCGAGAAATCATGAAAATGGTACAAAAATATTCTTAATTGGTCCAAAAATGTGTAGTTATCAAATTGCAGCAATAAAGTGTGCTATTTGTGTTTTTTTACGCACCAATAGGATACCACTACCGCCTTCAACCGAGATCTTTCGGAACGCTTGAAAAATGTTTATAAATTGTTTACGTTATTTTTTATTTTTTTTTCAATATTTATAAAATTTAGGGAAAAACTTTAAATTCTGAAAAGAAATTGAATGGCGATCAGTATGAAATAGAATTTTGAATTACAAATATAATTTATTTTTTTAACAGTTTTAAAGTTTTTAGAAAGCCAAATAGTTTGATTTTAACTTTGATTTATAAATAAAATTTATTTTTTCAAAGTTTAAAATTTTTGAAAAGCGCTCAATTAAATTTATTTGAATTATAAATAAGATTCAAAGTTTTTAAAAAGGCAGTCAGTAGGAAATTATATTTTGAGGCAATCTCTTTTAAGTTTTGATTTATAAATAAAATTTCTTTATTATTAGAAGTTTAAAATTTTTTAAGAAAGAAATTAGTTTGAAATTAAATTTATTTTTTTAATAATTTAGTTTTTAAAGAGGCGATTAGTATGAAATTATTTTTGAATTAAAATTAATAATTATTTTATTTAGGTTTCAAAATTTTTAAAAAAAAAGGAGAATCAGTCTGAAATTATTTTTATTTATAAGTAAATTTATTTTTTTAAAGTCCAAAAGTTTTTGAAAAGGTAATCAGTATGAAATCTTCGGTCCAAAAGTAAAATTCATCTTTTAAATTTTAAAATTTTTTTTAAAAAAGGCAGTCAGATTGAAATAAGTTATGAGTTAATATATTTTAGAAGTTTTAAAAAGGCATTAGTCTAAAATTTTATTAAAAAGATAAAATTTATTTCTTCTAAAAATTGAAAAAAAATTAAAAGGCAGTCAGTTTGAAATTTAACTTTAATGCTAATTTTAATTTTATTATTATAAAATTTATTTTATGTATTTATTAAAAGCTACAAAAAGTTTATTATTTATTATAAATTAATTTAACTGCTACTAATTTTAAGGAAAGCTTTATTACATTTATTGCTCGTGAATAAGAAGAAAATCTATTTTATAAAAAATTTTAATGTTATTATAATTAGAGTACATGATTTACAGGATTTCAAAGAAAGTCAATTTTTTTGTTACAAAATTTCAAATTTTTAATTTAAATTAAAATTTTAAACAATTTTTTTAAAAATAATTATTATTTTATTAAATTGTTTGTTGACATAAAAAATTAAAATTATTTTATTCAATTTATTTCGAGGAGCTGTAAGAGTAGTCATATCAAAACCGAATAATAAACGGAAATAGTTTAAATAATAATTTTTTTAAAGACGCAAGACTTTTAAAATTTCTTTAAGCTAAAAATTTAAAGAAAATTATTCAATAACATTTTAAATAGAGTTACAAGATTTATTATTAAAAGAAAGTAAAATTTTTAAAAAAAGTTTTAATTGTATTTCAATTAGTTTCAATATTTCTAAAATTTTAAGTTAATTTTATTAAAATCATAAGATTTCTGTTAATTTAAGCACTTAAAATAGTAAAAAAAGCTAAAATACTATTTTAATTAGAGTTACGAGATTTACTAAAAAACAAGCTTGAAAAAGTTTACATAATATTTTTGTCATAATTACTTTAGAGTTACAAGAATTTAAAAATCTAAAGATTAGGTATTTTCAAAAAAGTTAATAATAATTTTATTAGAGTAATAATATTTTTAAATTTCAAGAAATTGAAATATAATTTATTATGAACCGGACTTGACTTAATTATTTATATTAAAACAATTGTTTTTGCTATACAAGTTTTGTTGATAATTTCATAAACTTCTTTAAGAGTAATTTTATTAAGTTCAGTGCGCATAATTGAGGAGGAAAATTAATATAAAAAGGTTAAAAGTTGTTTTAAAAAAGAGATGCAGGATTTTTTAAATTTTAAGAAATTGAAAATACATATTATAATTAGCAGTATTAAGTTTGGGCGGACTGGACTTAATTTATGAAAATTTTAGTGCAAGTCTTTTTTTCCTTGTTTATGGTAAACTATTGTTCAAAGTTTAAAATAATATTTTAATTAGAGTTTTTAGATTTATAGAATTTTAAGAAACTGACAAAATTATTGATAATTAGCAGTAACTAAATGTGCCTGGGTCTAACGAAATTATGATTTTATATTTAAATAAAAATCTTCATTTTAAGGTTATAGAGGGAGTTAATTTAAAAAGTTTATTAAAAAAATTTCTAAGTTGAAAGATTTTAGAATTCCAAGAATTTTATAATTTAAGGGCATAACTTAACATGAGGTTTAATTTATAAAAATAATTTGATTACATTGTAATTCATAGTTCTAAAAAGTTCAGTGTATTTAATTAACGAGAAAAAGTACTTTAAAACGTTTAAAAGATAATTAAATTAAAGTTTCGAGATAATTAGAATTTGAAATTGAAAATTTTAAATAAATATTAGCAGTATCACAAATGGGGCTGGAATTAATTAATTCTTTAGATGCTTCTGCTTTGTTTTTTTTTTAATTTAATTAAAAAAAGTTTGAGGATTACTACAAAATATTTGAATTTTTTATGGTTCTGTTTTATAAAAGTTACATTGCAAGTAATAATGTAAAAGAAGGCTAATCTTCAATACTATTTATAAATTATTTTAAAATTTTAATTATCAATAAATTTTTTTAGAAAAGTTTAGAAACAATTTTAACCTTCACCTTTGAGGTATTTGCTAAAGTACAAAAAAAATTTTGTTTTTTGTCACGCTAAAAATGAAATTAAATAAAAATATTATTCTTATAGATATTGTAAACATAAAGCGCCATTTTACCATTTTTACTTAGAAATTGGAGACAATTAACGTGTTTAAGTAAGGAAATGTTTAATTACTGAAATGATTTATTTTCACTGTGATGCACTTGGTAGCCGACTTTATAATATTTATTTTTGTCTTAATCTCTTTACTTTTAGATTTATTACTTTTGTTGCCTTTTTATATTGCCTAAAACTACTAAAGCTAAGCAAATGCTTGCGCATACGCAGTAAACTTTGCTTGTTTAGTTTACAAAGTTAATAATAAAAATGTCCACCGTGTTTGTTGCGCTGATTTTAATTGTTTGGAATTTAATTATAAAAATAATTGATAAAAAGGAAAATCGTACATATTTTAAATTTAAATGTTTTTTAAGAGTGCTTATTTAACGCTAGAAAGCAGCAAGCGCGCTTAAAGAAAAGCTTAATGTCGTTGAAATGAATTTTTAAACTACAATTTTATTAATTGGGGGTTTACTAAATCAATTTTTTTTACCAGCGTTTGTTGAGTTGTGTTTACCAATGGCAACCGTCGCCTATTATATTAACTGAATGAAACTATATGATTGGGTTACGACTTCAAAAGCGATTCGCTATAGTTTTTAAGTGGTTTGCGGTTTTACTTTTTATAAATTTGGTGGCTTACACACGTTTAATCAACCAATCTGGACGTGAAATGGATTAAAATGATTGTAACGATTTTTAAGGCGCTAGTTAAAGTTACTGTTTTTGGCTTCATGAAAAAAATTTGTACTCTCATACTTCTCTAAATTTAGCAATTTCTGAAATTATTTTGTGTTTTTTGGGCTGTTTTGGGACGAAATATTTCATATTAAAACCGCCGTTGGGAAAGGCTTTTAAGCAGCACGCCAATCATACCGATAAGAAGCGTTGGTGCGCTCTATTGCCGTTAGCGCAATGCGCTTTAAAATTCCGTAATATTGTTCATAGGGGATTAGGCCAAGATAAATATATATGAACTTACTTTAATTCTAAGCTAAAATTTTGCGAAAATAATATATGTTGAGCTCTATAATCTGTGCTTACTAACCCTTTCGTACACCAGAAAATTTATAAATATATATATTTATTTCATTTAAAGAGTATTTAGGAAGCCCCTTAACGAATAGGTTCCATTCGGTCTGGTAAACTTCCTCCCTCTGTAGTACACCATACAAAAGCGATTTTGCTTAAAAAAAAATGTCGAGTTTATAATCCGACTCGACTGGCTGCACCATTCATAAGTGTAATTGATTAGGTAAGTATAACTTTTATCATCATTTTACAAAGTACTAGTCATTTATTCTGTATACTTTTACTATCTCCTGCCCTCGTTATTGGCATCTTGAAGAAACATGGGGTTAACACGTAATTAAAAATTTTTACCAGCTCTGGTCGGGTCCTCTAACCAAAATTTTTACTAGGAGGTAATTTCGTTGACATATCTTTTTTTCTACTCAAATTTATTAAGTGTAATTTCAAGCTCATATGCGTAGTTGCTTACTGAATAACTATTAGCGACCCTAACGTAACATTGAAAGAGGAAGCAAGATAAAGTTTTCTTGAATTAGCTCGCGCTAATCCCTAAAGGGCTAAAGCCTCGGGTTGACGTAGGCTTGTAGTTACATGTTTACAGACAGTTTAACTTAGAAATTTTTTGTTCTAGAATATTAGCGTGCTTTTTCTAATCATTCTTTGCCAATTGCACACTGCTCATTTAACCCTCTTACAAAAGAAACAAAATGTACGCACAAAGGCTTAACCTTTGAGGGCGAATTGTTATATTTAAGTGGAATGTCGGGAGTACGTTCTTTTTTCCTTTGTACGTAGTTAAACTTTGAAATAGCGAGTGCAACAAAGTGCTTTCTTCCTTCATAATTCTGCATTATAATCCATTCCATATCCATACCACTGGTGTTTGTTTGCAAAATCAAATTCTGTATGACCTTCACCTCTTCTACGCATACCCTTGCTTCAAGTATTTTTTTTTTTCAATACTTTTTTCTCAGCCAACCCAAACTTATCATTTTCCTTCAGTAACCTACATTGAGGTTTTAATATTAACGCATTATTCGATATACATATTTCATTATTTTAAACTATTGAACAAAATGCATTTTTTCCCGAATGTTCATATTTTAAAAACTTGGATTTGTTCTGTACTCTCACAAAACCTTCTTTACTTATCACTCTTCTTCATGAAATTACATTTTTGCAGTCTTAGCCTAACATACTTTTTGTATCTGGTTTCCGGTTTCATAACGCTTTGTAGTGAACCAATTTAGTTTCGCTACGCACTAGGCAGTCATCTACATACTAGTTCTTCAAACCGGTCGTAATAATATCCATCCCTTCTGACATGCAAACAAACCGTTTACATAAGCAAAAGGTAAACAGCCCTTGGCGCTCTGCGCCCGTTAGGCATAGTAAAAAAAAAAAGCCTCACTTACCAAGGTTAATATTAAATAAACAAATAAGCCAAAGGACACTAAATTTCCATCCACCATTTACACTTATATTGATAAGTTTTTATGGACACTTTCTCATTTTAGTGCTGGTTTATAACGAAGAGGAGATTCTTACAATCCGTTTCCTAAATTTGAAGAAAGTTAAAAAGTAGTTGACTACTAAATACAAAAGCTCTGAACGAATCAGATACAGCCTTATTTTATTGTCTCGTCTTATAATTAGCCATTGGCAGTCTTCCCTTTTTTTAAGGAAGGTGTACAAGTTTTGGAATAAATCAGTAATGCTCATAAAAAAGAGTAGTGCTTGTACTAGCAAACGTAAACTTAATACGTTAGATACTTTTAACTTTGTTACAAAACTATTGCATGGGCTTAGGGAGTCAGATATATAGGCTTTATATGAGACGAGAGTAACCTTAAATATGTAAAGTTAATTGAATTAAAAAAAATTTGATAGTTGAGGTCAAAATCCCTCTAAGTTTCCTCAAAATAGAAGACCGGAAAAGGCTTTTTATTATGTTAGATATGATTTTTAAGCTTTGAATTATTGAAGGAAGACCATAATACTGATAACATTCTCAAACATATTAATAGTATTAGTGGGTATATTGTCAATAAGAATTTCGTACTGTATTAATAACACAGTATAAATCACATAACCATGTTTATGCGGTAAATAATAGAAACTATAATATATTTGCAATAAGTATAATAATATTAGTAATAACTTTGGTTTATTATTTTTTGTGTAAGTGCTTTGCTCACGCTTGATTTACTCTTAATAAAAGTCCTATACAAAAGCTGTTTGACAGATTAGTTTACGAATTTTCTTAAAAATTGTCTTCTATTAAATTACATTTACTAAGTCAAGAAAGAATTACACACGCTTGACCTACTTTATAAAAAAGAGTCGCATCCAAAGTTTTCAAGGCGGGAACTACAAGGGAGTTTGACGTAATGTTTTTCTCACAAAATTACGATTCTCTATGCTGTCCTGCTTTTCTAACTAGCTGCTTCGAACGATTTATAGTGATAAAATGCTGGCGTATCGTTAAGTCGGAATTGTTAATTTTCTTGGGAAAGAGATGTATATGGAAAGCAACCAAAGAAGAAACCTTAAGGTGAAGGTCGCCACTTGATAAATAAAGAATGTTAGATTTTTAACAAAGTTAAACGGAGTAGGAGTCCTTTTCAGGTATTGAGATAGAACATTATAATGCACAAGATAAAACCCAAGTTCACTCAAAAAAAAAAAATATTAGAAAACACTAAATTGCTTACTTTGCCACCACTTTATAACGTAAAGTATATTCCGTTAAGGGTTATATAGTGTACTACATTTTATAACTCGATTTAAAGTAGATAAGGAGATCAAGCACACATGAACTGAGTTTATGGTATAAAGTAGATTATTAATACGTTTAAAGTAAACAGTATTGCATGTTCAGGAGTCATTTTGCCAAAACTATCAAACATGTAGTGCACCTCATCTCTTGTTATACAGCCACTGTTGATAGGTACAGTTGTAGTCTGAGCAGGCTGGTCTGGACACCTTCGTATTGAAACTCTTCAAGCCGAACGTCATTGTTTTGAGTTGTTAATTTGAAATACTGGAAAGGACTAAATTCGTCGTAAAGGAAAGAACTTCCATTGAGTTGAAAACATTGGATTTTACTTTTGCATCGGGTATCTTCTTAGAGTCATACCTCTTGGTAGGGAACATTTATTTTTAATCCAATAAAGTAAATGATCAAGAAGAGAAGACAAGTTTGGATGATTCTCATTGTAAAATTTGTTTATGATAAAACTTTTTTAGTTGCCACAAGTTATTATATACTGTGGAAAGAAATTTATGCATACTTCATATAGGGGTTTTTTTTATTTCTTTTCTACTTTTAACTACTTAACTAACCCGCTAAAAGCTAATCCATTAAAATATAAAACTTAGTATTATTCTAAAATCCATTTTTTAGCGACCTCATTTGGTTCTGAGCCCACTGTAAAGCGTAACTTTTTCTATTTGTGCAACATTACTCTATATATGAATATTTTTTTAGTTAAAACACATTATGTCCAAGGGATTTGTACCTTTTTAATTTTTAATTAATAAACAGGGATTATAATAAAATGAGATTTTTTATTGATAAATTTTAGTAACTTGCTTTACTAATATGTATTTTATAATATTTTGGGTTGACTAATTGTTATATTTTCATATAATTATTCTAACAATTTTTTTAATTTTCAATAATCTTTAAAACTTTTTTTATTTTACTTTGACGACTCACAAAATGCAAAATTTTCAGTAGATAGTTTTCCCTTTGAAGATATTTTAAAAATTTACTGTTTACCTTTAGAAAATTTTGAAAGCAACGCTTTGCAAAAAAAAAAATAAATCAACGGGCTGATATTCAAGCAAGACTGGGAATATTTGGCGTTCTGTTGTCTAAATAATGAAGTTTGGTAGAGCATTTTTATTTAGACAGTAATGCATCATTTTTGAAAATCTACAATAAACTTCACATTAATAACTGGATAATAGTCGTACACTTTACCACCATTTTAAGTTTGTGCTTAACAAAATTGAGAAGAGGTCGCTCTAAAGATTATATACCTTACAGCTATGTTAGGTTAAAATAAGTTTTCATAACCACTTTTATTAAACAATTTTTAACCCCTCAGTTTCGGAGAGGAAAAATTTTTAATAAAGGAAGAATTCGACTTTTACACGCAAGTAACCAAAAATAAATGGAATTTTATTAATACTTTTTTCTAAAGAAAGCTCTTGTGAGAGAATCGTTTAGGCAACAATTTTGTTTATTTTGAGGTACGTATGCAAAGAAGTCAGCTTTATGTTAACTTTTTTTAAGTTACTAAAGAATGAAGCTTAGCAGGTGAAGATAAGAGGTGGAAGAAATGGTTATTTATAAGTGATAGGAATTCATACATGCATGTCAGAACCTTAAAAAGTTTTAGGTCTAAACATGGAAGAAACACTGCACGTTCACTGGTTTCTGCTGGGAATGAACCTTACAAATATATGACATTTTGCCAACAATGTTTTCAATAATATCTTCTATTGGGAATGCATAACCCATGCACTATTAAAAAGCCTGCAGCTCAAAATTAACGCAAAAAAAGCTATTCTATTTTTTATAACTTTTACAACTTTTTTAGGGATGAATGCAGAATTTACACCTTTCTGCCTAATGTTTTTATCTTTTCTAATAAATTTCTTTAGACAAAATAGCTGGCTAAACTTTAGTAAACTGAAATAGATTGTTTAATGTTTAAATTTAAAAAGCTTATAGACGGTAATTATGATTAGATATTTAATAATAAACAACTTAGAAGTAATGTTTTGATTCTTAATAAAGACAAGAGTCTAAGATAGCAAAGAGAAAAAAAGGTATATATCAGAATTTTTGGCCATATATTAAAAAAAAATAAATTAAGTTTTTAACTGTGCTTCAACGAGTTATAGAAAACTACTAAAATAATTAAATCTGTTGTTTTTATTACTTTTAAAGTTTAGAGTATTATAATTTAAAAAGTTAATCACACTCAAAAGTTTTAATAATGTTTAAGTAGTAAATAATTTACAAAAAAATCTTATAAAAATTAATTCAATGGAAATAGTAAAAATAAAAACAATTTTGTTTTATTAATATCCCTTATCTGGAAATCTCAAGTAGCATTTATCGGTAAAAGGAATCTTTTTTCCTTCCTCAGTAAATTTGGGAATGAGAGTCAATTTATTAAAACCCAGTGATTCTAACGAGAAAAAATAAATAAAATTTATTATTTTTAAATGTAATTTAGTTTAAATGCAGTTTATAATGAAAACAGAAAAGTGCACCTGGAGTTTTAAGCCCAAGTTCGTTGATAACTGGCTCTAATTCTTTAACAATTTCTATATAATCATCGTGCTTTTCGACCTTTAGAGTAGGAAAATTATAAACTAGAAAAATAATTTATACAAAAGAATTTAATTAAAATACTTTATCAGCTAAACCCTCAAAAATTCTAATAGTTGGAGAATAAAAGTTTAAACGGCGACAACAGCGAAAAGCAGCTTCTATAATTCGTTTTCCAGGAACAATATCGTAACCAAATACATGTTCTAAACTAAAAAATTCCAATAAAATATTTATTTATTTATTTAGTTTTTCAACAAAACCCGCGGATAATTCCGGCTTTTCTAAGTTTAGGATCTTCAAAAAATTCAACCCACTGCTGAATAAACTCCTCGTTATTATCAGCTTAAGAAGGTTGCAGAAAATAAACTTGAAATAAATTTAACGTTATTAGAATATTATGTAATTACGAAAGGCAGTGGTTTCGTATCTTTTTGTGAGGTTGGTAAAGCCTTCTGTTACAAAGTATTTTAAATATAATAGTATTAAAAATTATATAAAAAGTTTGTCTGCACTTGCTAAAAAAATTCGAGAACGTCTAATAAAAAAAGCCATTGAAGTTACAGTGCTTGAACAAAATCAGCGAACTGTTATAAGCAGTATAGAGTATAATATTATAAGGTAGTAAACTTAATAAAATATTATGGAACAACAATAAAACTTTTTAATAAATAAGTTCTAATAATTTACAATGAACATAGTATATATAATAATGTAGATGTGGTGTATAATAAAAAAAAGGTATAACAACTGTGAGAAGTCAATAAAAGCTAAAGGGTTGACAAAAGACATTTTTCTGTATTTTACAATTAACCTCGAGAAATTATTTAGAGCCTACTCGCTTAGGCTAACTTTGAGTAAGTTTTAAAACGTATAGCTAAAGTAAACATAGAAACTTATAGGGATTATTTCAGCAAGATATAGCAAATTTTACTTAAAAATAAAGTAAAACCATCAAAAGTAAGATAAATCCAACCCCAGTCTGGGAAAACCAAAAAATTAGATCGCTATTTGGTTCCCTCCAGATTACAAACTTTATACCGGCACTCTAGTAATTTAACTGTTAAATTATATAAATAAACACCTTTAAGAAAACTTATTAACTTTATTAAATATTGTAAAAATGGAAAAAGACAAAAACTTTAAAATTAAAGTTCTAGTCTCTATGCTCACTACACGATATATCTGAAATGGAAGGAATAAAATTTGTAATAACTACAGCTTTGAATAGTAGCTTGAAGGTTGGTAAATCCAATAAAATTTAAGTATGGTTGAGTAAGAAAAACTGTATTTTGTGTAATTTTAAGACACTTACACCGTAACGCCAGAAAATGAAATTATCTCTCTCTTCGTGGCAGTAATAAATAGATAAGTATAAAATTCTTTTTAACTTTACTCCGTTTAATATTTTTTCTAACTTAAGCATGCCTTCCAACTGTTTTTCTATTACCACCACCTTCGGTTTTTCCTGCGATGTTCAGATGTATCAATTATTCCTTGAAGCTAGTACCAACTTTTTGAAAAAATACTTTGCAAGCACCTTTGATAGGCTGTTTTACTTGCAAAAAGCTTAGTAACTATTTAAATTTAAGAAGCTTTATAGAAGGAGCCCTCTTTCTTTAGAATTGTGGAATAAAGATAACTACTCTTAAACAAGCAAAATAACTTTTTTAGAAAAAAACTAATTTCACCTGCAAATTTTTCTAGAAAAGTGTTTATCGTTTTTATATTCGACAGTGTATTGAATAAGCATTCTTAACTAATATAGAATGCCTGAAATTTTAATTTTTTGGTGTCTACCACGAAAATCTTCTCTCAGACAAAATTTTTGATTCTGTTAAATTATTATATTATTTTTATTTTTATACTATGTCTCAAAGGAAGCATAATTAAATTCAGTTAAATTCTCTGTTCGCACTTGTTTACCTTTTACTCCTTTCATTTGTGCACTTATTAATAAACTGTTAATGTTTGACGATAGTAGTTTTCTTTTAATTCTCTGCAGATGACTCAGTTCTGTTTACATGTTGTAAAGACAGATATTTCTTCTGTTTATTTAAATTATGTTTAATATATTATTTTATTTTTTCTCTTTACCTCCAAGTAATTTCTCTGCCTTAGCGATTCTTAATTAGAGTACACTACAATTCTACTAGATTCCAACACGTGATAGCTTTAAAAATGCTACTAACGAATTCACAAAAATAGCAGTATAAGGCTTGTATTGTGCTTTAATTTTTAAGACAGTATCAAAAGTGCATCTTATATGCAAACAGATTTATACTTAACTAACAAACAATGTTTTTAAATATTAATAGGCTTTGTACAAAACAAAGTTAGTCCTCTATTTTAACCATAATTATAGAATGAGAAAGTTATTATATATATTTTTTATTCTTTTTTCTATAATAGAAAAAATCATCAAAAAGTATTTATTACGCCTTTAAAGGTTTTAGTACCCTAACAATGTTTCTTTTGTAGACAATACTTACAGATTAATCGTTACACGACTTTTAGAGATTAATTATAAGTTTGGGTAAACAAGATGTCTATTAAAACGCCATATTTTCAAAGTAAGCCTAGTAAAGCAACTTTATATCCCCAATATATTTTTTTTGATGCTTATCAATATTTTTATCTGGTCGGTGTATTGGTCTCTTGCTTTTTTTACTACTATGAAGCTATAATCTTAAAGTATCAATAGCTCACCTTAACCTCAAGTTTGATTTAACTGGCGCTGTCTTTATTAAGTAAAATCCATCATGCTATTAAATCATAATATTATAATTCGGTTTTTTGCGCAGTCTATAAAGATAGCTCAGCCAACCTACAGATTATTAATTTTTTCACGTTTCCTCTACATTGTATTAGTAGGCTCCCAAGATCGTTTTCTACTTTTAACTTACTAGTAACCCAAAATACTTTAATTTTTTTATAAACAACTTTTCTTTTATTTTTTTTAATGTTAGTTGATTATCATTAATAACTTTTTTTGGTAAATGACGAGAAATAAAGGAGGAAACGACCAATATATTATCCCGTGAGGGAAGGGTATTTTATAACTTCAGGGGAAGAAATACAAAATATATAACTTTTGGGAAAAACGGAGAAACACCTGCTTATTTGACACAGTCACGTGATATTGACATGTGGTATATAAACACATGGTATAAGCGCGTGATATCAAGAGTTAACTCCATCAGTTATTCCACGGCATCTTCGAGAAATTAATTTAACTGTGTTCGTTAATCGTTCCTCGTGACCTTAAAAAATATGCTGAAGCATATTTAAACATTCTTGTCTTTGACGTGCCCTGAGCAGAGGGCCCTCAGGGATCTCTTTTTTCACTCCTACTATTTACAATCTATATGCGCGAGATGCCTTTACCAACCAATCCTCGCGGGTGTCGCTTTATACGCGGACGAACTAACCATTTACTCGTCATCGAAGGCATCCACCTTGCTGTGCCAGCATATGCCCGCTACCACGTCGAGCTCGTCGATTGGTATCTTCAATGGAAAGTCGCAACAAACACGACTAAGAGCAAGGCCTTCCCTGCAACAAAGAAACGAGTACCTTTGCTGGCGTCCTTAACCTTAGATGGCATTCGGGGTCATCAAAAATATGTGGCTGCCACATACGTGGCCTACGTAGTGGCGAGGACCAAGTTTACACTGCGCATCAAGCAGCGGTTGTACATCTCTTATATCCAGCCAATAATGACATACGCATCTACCCCTTAGACCAACGACTGCACTGCAATAGCATCGGCGCTTCAAGTTCGACAGTGGTGTGGGAGAAGTGAATCACGATGGAAACTTTGGACGTCGTTTTCCGACGCAATGCCATTGCCCTTTATGACCGGATAACCTGCCCCACTACTCATTTGCTGGTAAGAGAGAGCTCATAAAGCGCCATGAACAGGGTCACGTAATCGCCGTGCATGTGACACGATATAGGGGCTAAATTTTTTTGGTTTCATAGATGTCAATTCTAGCTCCCCCTGCGCGTAGTAAAAGTTAAACTGTAGCGCCTACGACTAGGATGTTAACTAAGAGAGAGGGAAACATGTATATTAAATTGCTTTACACGCGCACCCGATTAAGTCTTGGGAGGGAGGTGGGGGTGGTGGGTCTACACGAAATAGAAACTGACTAAAAGCGACACCACGCAAACCATAATATTATTACTGAGCGCTTGTAAACTTAACAACATTTTCCTTAGCTACAAAGTAAATTAGCCACCCAAGGGAATAGTCAAGTTCTTGTCCCTTAGGCAGCTATGCTTAAGAATGGAATCGAACCACTAACGTTACTGTGAAGGAGTAAAGCTTTACCACTAAAACTACCTAAGCCATTTTATAATAAAGTTCTACTTTAGTAGAACCAAATAACTAATTAACAGTCTAGAAATGTTAGCTAAGGAATTGTTCTACTAAAGTAGAACGGAAAAAACAAGGTATTAAATTAAATTCCTGTTACGCTGTTAGGCCCTATGGGTGGCTTAATATCAGCCATCCCAAGGGCAACTGCCTCCTTACCTGGGACCCAAGCGATTAAAGGGATCTAATTTAATAACTTACTTACTTTTTTTTGTTCTACATTAGTAGAACAATTCCTTAGCTAACATTTCTAGACTGTTAATTAGTTATTTGGTTCTACTAAAGTAGAACTTTATTATAAAATGGCTTAGGTAGTTTTAGTGGTAAAGCTTTACTCCTTCACAGTAACGTTAGTGGTTCGATTCCATTCTTAAGCATAGCTGCCTAAGGGACAAGAACTTAACTACTCCCTTGAGAGGCTAATTTTCTTTGCAATTAAGGTTTTTAAGTGAAGCTTTATATCTCGTTATAATCTAGTACACCGAAGCTCTTAGTTTTAACCAAACCTTCGGTACATTGATAAGCAATATTTGTAACATTTTTTAAAATCTCTTTATTGGCTTTAAGTTCCCCGTAATAGGGTTGAGAAACCAAGGTGAAAAATACAAACCTTTAGAAACTAGTCATGCTCTTTTGAACTAGCATATGATTTCGGTTATCGAGCATTAGGTAGACTCTCTCTCTCCTAGTAGTTAACGCCCGCTAGTGATTAAATGCTCTGAAGACGATTTTTTCAGTGAGAGCCAGGAGAAAAACCATGATAGAGACCGAGTATTTACAAAAGAAACGTCCATCGAATAGCTGCGAAACCTATAGACCTTATCGAGGTCAAGGGAGAACATTGATATGCAAAACAACTGAGAAGTACATGTGAAAGGGAACCCTAAGGGAGCGAAACAGATTATGAAACCTAATGCTAAGACTTAGAGATGACTATTTAAAAGTTAAGTTTAGCTTAATTTTACAATTTAGTTGAGTTTAATAACAATTTTGTCATCCCTAGTCCTTTATTTTGACTTTATTGAACTGTTTTTGTTATTGATCAAAACAGTGCTGTTACCTATAATAATGTTGCAAAAGTGTCCATCGTATAAGAGATAGCAGCTAATTAACTGCTACTCGCTGCGCACGAGTGAAGACTATTTTTGGCCGCAACGGGCTTGTGTCGCAGCCTACCTACGGTTTCTACCACATTTGGAAGTTGGCGTCGGTGAAGCTTTTAAAGATCTATTTTTGGCAGCTGCAAGTCGGCCTGTTAGTGGCAGGGCTAGAAGCTTTTTGTGCCTTTGACTGTTGGTCATATCTCGAGACTTCAGTCGCAGGTAGTATACCCTTTGGCTGCGCTAGGATTGCTTTTTGTTCCTTGACTGTCCATTGTACAAAATGCTTTTAACAGACAAGCCTATATATAAAATTCGCCTCCAGCTTTAGGGTAAGCGGCACCCATTAAATCTGTTCCTTTAAAGTGGGGTAGAGATGAAGGAATTTAAAGGATTTATCGATCCATCATTGGAATGTGCTTTAGCTGCGATTACACCTACGCGAGAGCTCGGGTATCTATTTGACTCGTATCGAGTTACGAAAGCCACTTGTAAATAAAAAAATTGAGCTAACGGGCTTTTTCGCGCCCCCTGCTCTTTGTCCTGCTTATCTCCTTAGAGCGAACGCCGAAGTGTCAAAAAACGAGGACTGCATCTCTGTAGATCTGGTATTTTGTTAAGATGGCCTTACTAAAACGCTCCTAGGAGTTTTTAAAAACTCTTATACATTTAAATTTTGCTTACTACCGTTGTCTGATGTGGGCGGTATCCTAAGTAGCATAAAACTTTTTTTCTCATTTCATAAAGGAGTTGAGCGAAAGCAGGGTTAGAAGGTTAACTGCTACCTTCGAGTATTATAAATTAATTTAATATTAAATTTTGTTGTAATCGTTTAATTTTGGTTTATACATAAAATTTTTTTATTGTTTTATTCCATCTACTTCTGTTCGAGAATTTGAATTAATAAAGTTATGCAGCTTAATAGAGCATAAGAAATGACGTTTTTTTTTTTTATATATGTATTTCTTTTTTTTTTCATATGCATGTAAGTTTTCCGCTTACAATTTACGAACTTTATAAAAGAGCTGATCAAGGTCAGCAATTAAAGAAAAATCTAGCATGTAATGATTTAGACAATGTTTAACGTGGTGGTTTCTTTTATTTTTATAGTATCTACAAGGGTTAAACTTACTGACGATGGTATTATTATCAATTAAAAAAATCTGTATTTTTTTATGAAAACAACACGAAAGTAAAGTTGTATTAACTTTTTATGCTTGCATGTCGACCAGCATTCTTTGAGATGTTTTTAGTATGTTGAAAAAAGAACTCTTAATTATTAAACTAATTTATATATATCCTTTTCGTTATATAAAAAAAAAAAGTGAAATGGTACACTAAGTTTTATATTGAACACGAGAAAATTGATGCTAATTTCAGCTTTGGTTTTAAAAATGTTATAAAGCTGACTTTTTTGTTTGTCTCTGTATTCTATCAAGGGATAAAAAGTGTGTCCTAAAGTTAATCTTAAATAAAATTTTTTGTTAAGTTAGCAGTAATATATTTGTAACCTGCGTTGAGTATACATAAGGGTAAACGCCTCGTAGTTTCACTTAATACTTTTTATAATCTAATTAAAAAAGCCTAGAAAGTAGAAACTTCTGTACTAGTGAAGGTAACCGTTTACTTTCTTTATTACTATTCCATGCAAAAATACCTTTTATATAACTTTAATTTTACTATGCAAATTCCTATACTTTTCTTGTTGTGTTTGGTAAAACAACGTCAGTGGACAACTATTAGCTTAAATCTTAGCCATTTTTAATTTTATACTTAAAAGAGCTTTTTTTTAATAAAATCTCCTGTAGAATAACATCTTTTTTTGCCTAAGGAGAATTAATGCTTCTGCAAACTTTATTGCTGTCTGAATTATAAGAATTCGTTTGAAATAGCAAACAGGAAAATTGCTAAACTGTAGCAAAACTATAACCGACCCTGCACAAACTTTTTTGTTAGAAATTAACTTTTATGTAATAAGGTTAACATATTTTATGGCGCAATGCTTTAAGCATTACATAAAATATAGAAGTAAACCTTTCCATCAATAAATTCTAAGTGAAATGAACAAAAAAGTATAACACTCCGTTAGATAATACTTTCGCCAGTGACTGAAGGCTTTAACAACCATTATATTACTTATAGAACAATCAAAGTAAACAAAATACATATATTAACATGAATTGTTATATATATTATTTATTTTATAAGAGATGGTCTTTATTTATGTGTAAAGAAAATGATCTAGTCTGCATCCTAGTGATGTTATACTAACGTCTCTGCTAGAAACGACAAGGAACCTCAATTAAAAAATTTTTCTAGTTCCCAAAAAATTAATTAATTTCATTTGTTGAGTTACTTTGTTGATATAGAACTACTAAAATTATTTTGTTTAATGCTGTTCTTTTGATAGAGGATTATTCTAGTCGTAAAACCCGAGTTTAGCTTATTAAGCTTTTTTTACATGGTGGTTAAAAAAAAATGGCGAGCCCTCAATAATGTATGAATTAAAACCTTAAACATTAATCACTTCTTTGTTTCCCCACTATACTTTAGCAAACGAATGCTAACTATAATGATAGTAGTACGCTCTTACAGTTGTTAAAAGTATAAACTTTTTTTGTTTATATAGAATATTAGTTATACATATAAAACTATACTATTAGTGTTTGACTCCATAGTTTCTGATCTGTGGGAACATATTGATCCTAACCCTGATATTCATCTATTATTTATTGAATTTAATAAAAATTTTTTTGAAGAGAAGTACTTAAAATTTATTTAGTTTTTATAAAATTAATCTTAATTGTTTAAGACTTTCTTCTGTTGAAGTTAAGTGGAGTAAAAGGATGACTTTATGTGCAGGAACTTGTAGATATGAAAGCTTTGGGGGGCTTTGCTTAATTACTTTGAGTGAAGTAAATTTTTTATAGTATATGAAACATGAAACCTTTTAAAAAGTTTTTAATATTCTTAAGCCTTTGTTGAAATACAGAACTAGAAAAGAACTTATTGAAACCCTTTTGCACGAAATGATTCATGGTTAACTAATTTTTGATCCCTTTACTTGCAATAAAAATACTTTAAATCTTTTTTTTTTTTGCTTTATTACTTAGCCCTTCTTTTTATTACTCAAAATAATAAAGATCACGATGCGCACGGCCCCGAGTTTATAAATAATATGACCAGGATTAATAATTTAATCGGTATATTAATTTGAATACTTAATTTTTTTTTACTTTAAAGGAAATTTTATATCTTTTTTATAATAAAATTAATTCTAGGGACCGATATTTCCGTTTATCATAATTTCCATAATGAAGTGAACTTTTATCGTACACACGTTTGGCGTTGCACTGGGCCTTGTCAATTCAAGCCTCCTTTTTATGGTATTTTTTTTTAAAATTTGTTGACTTGGTAATAACTTGGAAATTTTTAAATTTCTATAACTGAAAGGAATAGTTAAGCGAGCGACAAATCGGAAACCTGGTTACTAATTTAATAATATATTGTTAATTATTAAATTATTATCTTGATTAATATATTGAGAAGGTTAAAAATATATACAACTTTTTTAAAATTTTAATTTTCAGTTTGGACTTTTAATTTTATTGGAAACTTATTATATATACTAATTGTTATTATTAAACAAGAAAATACAGCTTTTTATAATATGACTTAAAGAATTAAATTATTTATTTTAATTTTTAAGATTTGACTCAATTTAATTTATACATGTTTTGGCTTGTAATCTTTTTTGAGGAATTTTAAACTTAAATTTATTATTTTTGTATATGATAATATAATTTTAATAAGTTTTAGTTATTACAATCAATTTTTGCAATTTTAATAGATATCTATCTTATAATCTATACAGATGCTATTTTAGCTTGAAAAATTAAAAATTTCGAATTAATTTTAAGAATTTTTTTAAAGAATAATTGTAATTTTTTTTTTAAATTACGATTATCTTTTTCCATCGTAAATAAAATTTGTAATTAAAAGAAAATAGTTTATACTTTTATATATTACATGAACATATTTTGCTTGTTAGGAATTTTAAATAAGTTTTCTTTATTTTATAAGAAAGTTATTACTTTTATAAATGTATTTTTGTGGAGTTTATTAATAAGATTTATAGTTTTTAATTTAATGTTATTTGTAAATTTTTATTTATCAAGTAAATTTCAGTTCATTTACTTTCCAAGTTAATTTTATTTCTAAAAATTGTAATTTCTCATTTTAGAATTATATATACGTAATGTTTTTGTTGTCTAATAAATATGATAAATTATATTGTTATAAGAATTTAGGTAGTTTTTATTTTTATTTATTATTCGTGTTAATTACTTTAATATTTTTTTTTTATAATTTTGATATAAAATAATATAATATTCAACAGAACTTTGACTTTTTTTGCTTTATGTATTTTTTGAAAGACAAGCACTATCAATCATTTTTGTAATATTTTCATACAAGAATTTATAATTTATAATTCTTCTTCAAATATTAAACCTTATTAGTACTAATAACATCTTAAAAATTTTTATATAATAAAACTTTGTAAAAATATATTTTAAACTTATTAGTACTCAATGGAAATTCCTTTTTTCATTTTAATATTAAATGTATTGATAATTTTGAAAAAGAAAACATTAATCCAATTATAATTTACCATTAACTTAGATTTAATTAATTTTAAAATTCTATATATTAAAAAATTTTTTATTTTGTCAGATAACTCTTTTATAAAATATTTTTAATTCAAAAAAGAATTAAAATTAAATTTTTAATTATTTTTTTTTTTAAAAAAAATTTGCTAGTAAAAACAAAGATATGAAGGTTTTTTTATATAAATATTTTTAAACTTAACTTAAATTTTATTATATAAACATTTTTAATTGTTTTTTTAAATAATTTTATTTATCACTAAATTTGTTAAATTATTTTTTTAAATTAAAATTAAAATTAAAATTTTTATTGTAATTTTCTTGTAATAAATAGAATTTAAAACTTTTTTTATTATTATAATTATATTTGTACAAATAATTTTTTGTAAAATTTAATTTATACTTTTTTAATATTAAAAAGCAATTTTAATGTTTTTTAATTAAAATATGTTTTGTGCTGATAATTTTTTTAATTCTATTATACTTTTTAATCTTAAAATCTCAATTTCATTTGAAATTTTTTTTTAAATAATTGTAGTAATGAAGAGAAAATTTGTTTCTTTTACTAAAAATTATTCGTATTAAAATATTTTTTGTAATATTTATTAGGAATTAAAATTATTATAATTTTTTTACTAAATTTTATAAAATTTAAGGTAAGTATGACCGCTGGTTTTATACTCACCAGTTGAACTGTGGTGGTACTTTTGAGAAGATTTCTGCGCCGGAAAAAAAATCCACGAATAGGATTAAAAATAATAACACTGATAAATTTTATATTAAAAATAATAAGAAAGTAGTAAATTTTTATAATAATAATAATAATAATAATAATAATAATAATAATAATAATAATAATAATAATAATAATAATAATAATAATAATAATAATGGTAATGGTAATAAATGTATTAAAAGTAATACTAATAGCGATTTTACTAGAATTCCACTTTTAAATTCTGAATATTATAAAAAATACTCAATTATAAGTAATAGTAATAATAATTAGGGCTGATTGTATGTATTATATTTCTGTCTAATTATTATTTCATATTAAACTTTTATTAAATAATATATATAAAGTTTTCTTTTTTTATATATTTTTCTGCAATAAAAAACTTTGAGTATATTATTAATTAATTTTAAACATATATAATAACTAATATTGGTATTAATTATACTGTTAATTATAATTAAAAGAGAAATGGTATATATTTAAAAAAAATTATTTGATCAATATGCGCATAAATCATTTCTTTTTAATTTTTTTGCGAAAATGATAATTAATTTACTAATAATGAACCAGTAAGTGAGACAATGCCAATGGACTAATAGCTTCTAAAATCTCAAAATAATATGTAATTGAGAATATCTTCGAACACTTTAAATTTTCCCGAAAAATTTATCAATTTTTTATATAAAAGTGATACAAACCTAGAATAAAGTTTACTCCTACTCTTTGTTTTTTGGTTCCATTTTATTAATTGCCCAATAAAAAGCCACGAAATTTAACATTATAATATAAAAAAATACAAGGCTAACTAATTGATTAAGCACGTCCCACCACCTTGTTAATAGCTACGATATGATTTTTATTTGAACATATGTTTATTACGATCAAAAAAACATATAACGTCCACTTTGAAAACGGCGCCGTTCGTTTATCTTACCAACAAAAAAATTAGTTTCTGTATAAAATTTTTTTCGAAGATAAAGAGGTCAGAGCTTTCCAATAAAAACTTTACCGCAAACAAAAATAGTAGTAAAGTTCCTAACGGTACTAATTTTATTGTGCATGAAGCGTTCTTCTGATAATTTCTTATTAATATGCTAGTGCATAAAGCTTCAATGTCTATGGAACAAGTAATCGTTCTCATCTAGAATAGAACTATCTAGCATAGGTCTCAGACATTATGAATTTTTTGTAAAGGAAGGTCTTTATTAAAGCCTGAGTTTAAGGTGTAACCATTTGGCAAGGCCTGCCATGGGTAGAAAACTTAATAAGCATTAAAGAATAGGTATACTTAATTTTTGATTTTAAGTACTTTGGTAAGGAAGCTTTGTTTCTATCCCCTTTTTTTTATAAAGAGGTATTAAATAGTTTAAGACTCGAGTTATATTGTTCCTTAGCCATAACTGCAGGACCTTGAATTTTGTCTGTATTTAAAAATTTAAGATAACGCCTTTTTGATAATTTATTGATGAAAAATTTACTCTTAAAAGGCCACTTTTTCTTTAGAATATATTTATCCTATAATAATTCTATACTATCAAAAAGGGGTTCAGTCTCTTAACTAAATTTAGGAGGCATGTAATCCTTATTACGAAAGTACACTTTTTACTCCTCTTTAATTGGACTATTTTTACCTCATTTTTAAATTTTGGTCTAATTTGTCTAAAAAAGGTCTACTGAACTGAGATAAAATTCCATTTTGTTATTACAAGTAAATTTCGGATTTAGACAAAATTTAAAGCCCGAGATCGAAGAAATCTTTCAATATTCGAGGGGAGATAAGTCCCTGTATGTGTTAAGTTATGGAAAGTTAGATTCTCTGCATTTTACTCAACAGTTGGTTTATGGTAATTACTAGGAGGTAATCAACTGTAATTACTAATTGTCTGGTGCGTTCCGTTAAAAGACGACGACTTATACCGACTATTTATCGACAGGCTTATGTGATAACTTGCTAGTGTTATTAGTGGTTACTGTCCGTTTTTGCGGAATTGTCCTTCTATTACTTTTATTATTAGTCTCCGCGGGCCTAAAGTATATGTTTTTCGTAGGTTGGGGTATGGATGTGATTTTGTCCAGTTTTTTCTGGATAGATTTAATTTCGTCCTTAACTTTATTCCTAACAGTCTCTTTAATGAGTTTAGAGACAGACCCCCAGCCATAAAATAACCCCTCTATGTTTACGGTCTCTATGGGCTGGGTAGGAGTAAGAACATTGTCCAGTTTGACAATATACTCCATATATATGGCTACAATCCTTTCTTTGAAGAGATTTACGTCAACATTAATTTTGTTGGAGAAACTGAACATATCTAGGCCAGGATTTACGTTAAGAAGTGACTTCTGTTAAATACTATTGTATTTATATCGCAGCTCCTTCGAAAAACATTCAGTGACGCTTTTAATATTGTGTTCATAATAAGAAAATGTAGCTTTCTGAATATTAATAGAAAAAATTCCTGAATGCCTCCAGGTATTTTTGTTTTGCCTCGTACAAGGTGGCTTCCCCTTTTTTTAAATATTCCTTCAACGCCTCTCTATGTTTAAATTTTACTTAAAGAGATTGTTTAAGTAACATAGGGTTAGGAAGAAAGTTATTTCCCTTAAAAAAACAAAAGCTTCTGTAAAGCTTTTTTTGTTTTTCGAGGGACAAAATATTGTTGTGATAACGTCGGGACATGGTTGTTCATTGTTATATTAAATCTATTCAGTCTAACTAGTAAATTAGGGTTTTGAAATTATGTGAAAAAATGAAAATACAAATAAATCTTTGAATATAACGTAAATCAGAGAGCGCTCAATAGCAGTTCCTTTCGAGTGGATTCCCTTCTTCAGTGATCATCCCCTGTTATACTCGAAAAAGTCTGAAACAGTGTGTTTTGGGGGTTAATTATTTTATCTAGCCAATTAAAAGACACCGTTTCTGGTACTTTTTTAAGGGCTAAATGTCAGGGAAATCTACTAAAGTTTATGGTTAAAAAAATCAAATTTTTTAAAGTAGGAGACTTTTTTATAAGCTATTAATAGCCTAGAATTTGAGATTCTTCCTAATTCTTTTGCGCAAAGAATATGGCGAGAAGTCTCTTTTTAAGGCCTTTTGGGTCATGTGCACTATATTTTTCACTTTATAATTATTAGGATAAATTTTGAAGAGATTGCTAAAGTATAAGATCTAAAGAATTTTAAGAGGGTAGAAAAATGAAATAGAAAAAGTATGAAGAAAAAAAGAGAAAGGGGAGCTTACCTTGTTACATAAGAGCTACCGAAAGACACATAGAGTTTCTTTAAAAAGAAAAGTTACGTTATTACATATCGGACTTATTAAACTATAATCGTTAAAGGATAGCTTTAGTATGAAATTTTATATATCTATTATTTATGTTTACCCAAAGGACTAAGTTATTTTATGCAACGCCCATAATTTATAAATTAGGTTATGAAAGAAATAATTCATTCATAAAACTTTAACAATCCTATGCTGGGTTCGGCCAAATATTATAAATTATGGTTACCAGTTTTCAGTATACCTTTAAAAATAAAGTCTCCTTTCAACTTTAGTAAAAAAATTATAAAATTAGAGTGTAAAGACATTTTAAGTTTTAATGTAGAATAATTTTTACAATTATTCCCGTAGTAGACTAACAGAATTCCGTAGAATTCTTTTTAAAGGGCTCTCCTAACCATAAAAATTATTGTACATACCATGAAGCGTAGCAATTGTAAAAGAGTTTTGAAAAAAATATATTTGTGAAATCAAAAGGTAGAAACTAATTAGGTGGAGTGGAAGTTAGTATGGATGGATGGATATACTTAAGAAAAAAGGCCAATTTTAGCTCAACTGTAATGCCAACCGAGGACGAGTTATTAAAATACCTGGAGTACTTTAAAAGTCAATAAACTTGTGGCCCTAAGTAAATCTAATATACTAGCAACTTGCAAATTGCTATACAGTAAGAGTTATAGAAAGCAATTATTGCAATTTACCACAAAATTTTGTTCTTACTAGTTCGAATAGTTCGATAAAAATAGTTAAAAAAAACAAGGGGGGTGTAAGCTACGTGCAATTTAACTAAATTGACTCTAATAGTACACTAAGGATAAATGCGCGTTTATTTAAAAGTTAGATTAAAGATTTTCTTTACAAATTATGTAAAAGCCACTGGCAGCAGTTATGAACAAGTTTATGTGTAGGCAAACCACGTGCGAAACCATTAAATACGTACTTGCTTAACCTTTATAGGTTAGTGGTTACTATGTTTACCACCGGTCGCCTAGGTTAAATTTGCAAGAGTAAGCCTATGGAAATTGATCCTAAACGACAGGCTCGGCCTCTGCAACAACCTCTGGTTAGTTTGAGTACCATGTTCTTACGGATTAGGCAGAAACCAATAAAACAAAAAAAAGTGGTAAATTTAGTTACCTGTGAAAGTAAAAATCTAAGGTGGTATAAAGTCAGGCATGCGGTAAATTCCCTGTACCTTTGAGCGCATGCTATCTTCTCTAGCATCCCTAGGACTGGTCCCTTTGTGCAGAAGTAAGTCCTCTGTAGATCAAAAAATCAAACACATTTGCTACTGCATAGGATGGCTACTTAGTGAGCAGGCCTTGTCGAACGATTTATCTTGGCTCTGACCGTTGGATCTAACCTTTTAATTCTTCGTCAAGTTTTTTACACTCTTCATTGGGTGTAACGATTCCTTTTCCTTCGGCAGGTTCATGTCGTACAAGAGCACAAAAAAGGTCGTGCCTATATATTCAAATCCGTCTACAACTCAAACGTAAGTTCGCGAGGGTCCAGATGGTTTCGAAGGCAGAACTACGGTGCAGTAGTCAGTCTTTTCGCTTTGTATAATAAGTATTCTATGTGTTTCGCCATGTCAGTTTTTGTTTTCCAAACTACCCCAAGATATTTTGGCTCAGAACACAGAGGAAGCCCAGGGCCACATACGTAGCAACAAAAATTTGTCAGGGGCTTTTTTTTGGTTAGAAACGTAATGCACTTGGTCTTCTTTACTGTAACTTTAGACTTCAAACTATC